TTGTCATTATGTACAATGTATATGCTTATATGTACTGACTGTGTATATATGTATATATACACATCCTGTCTATATGTACGCGAAAGTATATTCACGTGTGTGTGTGTGTGTGTGTGTGTGTGTGTGTGTGTGTGTGTGTGTGTGTGTGTGTGTGTGTGTGTGTGTGTGTGTGTGTGTGTGTGTGTGTGAGAGTGTGTGTTAGTGTGTGTATGCGCTAAGTAAGCGCGTGTTTGTCTATGTATGTAAGGCAAATTGTCCAGTTATCTCTTAGTCAAACAGGTGCACCTACTACGCTAAGCAGATACCCCCCCCCCACCCATGGTTCAGTAAATCAATGAAGTGATGCCTGTTTTTTTTTTTTTTTTTCTTTTTAAGAGGAAGGGGGGAGGGTGATGCATGATCTCACCGACCCGAAATCAGATATCCGGTAATTGACTAACGGATAAAATGTTATTTGATTAATGCCCAACAAATAACTATGTAAAAAAAAGAAAAGAATCAAGCGCATTTAAATATTGCAAAGCTGACAATGCTTTCAGTGCTAATTGTCAACTCGCTCAATAGTGCTTTATATCAAATTATGTGACTAGCATAAGTTAATTTTAGGGGTGGAAATATCTATACAAAATGAATAAAAAATGAAAAATAAAAAAAAACGCCTCGATCTATCTACATACATTTTGTTTATATCTCCCAAAATAGTCACGTCTTCAGATAATAGAGATTCTCAGACATCTCAGATTTATTGCAACTAATCCTTTCCGCATTTAAATTTTTATTTTCTCTTTGGTGCTGATAATAACACTTTATCTTCTGTGTCATCTAGTTTTATTCTTTATCATCCTATAAGTTTTTAAAACAGCTGCACAAAATAACTCGTAAGTAATTAGAGTGCATAATAATTAACTCTACTAATCAACCAGAACTGTTCCATTATAATATACAAGACAAATTATCATGCTACTAAATCAAGCTCCTGTTTGTGCATTACAGCTAGCAGCCTTCACCTGTCTGTACAATAACTACAAAACAAACGATAGTGATATTATCGTTGACTTTCACGATGGTTTACAACCTTAACGAGGGTCTAGTGTGCACTTTCACGATGGTCTTTCAGTTACAAAGGTTTGCTCACATCCTTAACCAGCCTTATTAAACTACGTAAGTACCAGGCAACACGTATTATAGTAATATCTACAAACATGAACGTTTTTTTTTTATATAATACTACATGTTTACACAGTTAAAACGTACAGGATGATATGAAAAGTAGTATATAATACGAACTAGTATATACATATACATTAGTACTATTTTATAACTTTATTTTCGTTTGTACAAGTTTACATGAGGAAATGTAATAGGTGTGACATTGTAAGAAATGATAATACTAAAGCTGTTGTATGAACCCGCATAAAAAAGATTTTGCGAAATCGAAAATTATAGTGACATTCATTAAAAATGTTAGACATACAGGCACAAATATAGATATATGTATAGACACGATATACATATATATAAATATATATATATATATATATATATATATATATATATATATATATAAATATATATATATATATATACATATATATATACATATATATATATATATATATATATATATATATATATATATATATACACACACATATATATATATATATATATATATATATATATATATATATATATATATATATATATATATATATATATATATATATATACATATATATACATATATATATATATATATATATATATATATATATATATATATATATATATATATATATACATGTATATATGTATATACATATATATAAATAGATAGATAAATAGATAGATAGATATATAGATAGATAGATAGATAGATAGAGAGAGAGAGAGAGAGATAGAGATAGAGAGAGAGAGACAGACAGAGACAGATACGACAGCGGTAAAACAGAGACAGAAACCGAGACCGACGTATAGATAGAGAGACAAACCAAAGAAACACATCCCACCGCGAGAGAAACAGAAAAGAATAAACAGAATCCACGATACAATGGAATGGAATGTATGATTCTCGAAGGCTAGCAGCTCTGAGTGACATGCAGTAAATGACAATAAAAACTGAACAAGTAGTTTAAATGTAAACAGTTTCAGTCATATGAGTTCAAATAACGGAAAGGTTCCATCTGAATTATTTTATTTCATGACCATTTTTTTCCCATTATTTTCTGGTTTATCAAGAGTTCGGTGTTATATAATTGAAAATATTATCACCTGAGGAATGTACAGCGCTTCCTCTTTATCGTTTCTTTTAATCATAAAATAAGAAGGTTATTTAAAAAATGAGGAGGTAATACATAAGTCAAACGGGAAAGGGATTAAGGGAATATTATGATCTATTTTATATTATTTACATTATCGTCCTTTTTGTTTGTTTCTTTCTGTGTGTTTGATCTTCGATTATGATTTTCGCTTCATTAAGTGTAATTAGCTCATTCGACTTTAATGCCAAGTACATATAATACATATTAAAGTCCTTAACTAAACACCTGTTGTGCATTTTTTCTTTTTTTCTTCTTATTTAAACAATTATTTTGTTTCTAATATATTTCGATAACTTTTCTCTGGATCATTATTTTTTCAATTAAGGTTTTCCTTTATTTGATTTTAGATCCAGAATATATGGCGTTATCGACAGTACTTTTTTTTTAATTTACAATATGAAAAGATTTTCTTGCTAAAAAAAATGGAAAAATATGTTCTCGCAAAAGGAATATATATTGATAAAAAGTGTGATACTAGTAAGTATAATACATATCTATTGGGAAGACTGTCAAAAAGGCTCAACTCCCCGATCACAATACATGTAAACTGAGCCTTATTGAGGTCTCTTCTAGAGTTCGCAATCACGAATATTCTTTCCGACTTCTATAACAAAGTCTTAAAGGTAATAGTGCTTTCTAAGAGGTACAAAGTAGCACTTATGACAATCTGAATATTGTATACCAACCAGGATTTTTTTATTATTATTATTATCTCTCTTCTAAGTAAGTGCAATGCAAAGTTCCCCCAGAACTTAAATTATCAAATAATTGAAGAATCAATTTGATCAACTTCCAGGTCTACTCTGATACACATTAATATACCTCGCCACATTCTACAGACAGAAGGTTTATGCTACACTTAAGCCTTAGTGTAAGTCCAACAGATCCCGTACCGATGTCTTGAAGGAGCTTCCATAAACTAATTGAGTAATCTCCTCGTAGACGGAGATGCTGGAATTTTCTTATCTATCAAAATAAGTGTTCTAGCAAATATGGAAAGTACTTCAGACATTTGTATCTCGTTCATCAACTTACCTTTGATCATAATAGATAAACTTCTACAATATACATGTATACATGTCTGAATATATATATATCTATATACATATTATCATTATAAATATAGTTTTATCTTAATCACATATACATTTTATTCTCGCGAGTACATTGCACAAAAATTAAGCTGTACATAACTACTGTTTGGGATTACATAATGATATGGCAAAGGGCAATTACTAATGTATTTTTTTTCAGCAATTCGAATCTTTGACTCAAGCTTTACACAAATAGTCGCAGCTTACCTGTGGAGGAGTGTACTAATAATATAGTGTATATATCTGTGTCTTTCAACTTACGAGAAGCTTAGAAAATAAGTAGAGAATAGAACTACTGGATCAGTCAATGTTTAAGGACTAGAAAAACAGGGGAAAAAAATTTGTAATGGAAAAGAAATGGATTCGAGATGTTCCCTAAATGTTTTTTTTTTGCATTCTTCCCGATTGGTCTCATTCCTGCATTTCGATTTGCTTCGTCAAGTATGCAAATGAAGAGGAGTTCCTCATTAATAGGGGAGGGGGGGTCTCTTACAACTCATCCCCCCCCCCCCTCGGGAGCTGCTCTTCATTCGTTTTCTTTTCTCGTTTTCTTTCTGTGACCCTGTTCATTACGCCTCCGTTGTCAACATGGCGCAACCTGTTTTGAAAACATGGCGAGAAGAATAAGCGAAGTTGTTCTCTAATCTCTTATGATTCGATAAGGAATGATATGTCAATTTTCTATCCACTTTACGAGTAGGTTCGCATTTTCTTTAGTCAGTTAAACGAACCCAAGTTCAAGCACTGTAGTTAATTCAAAGTTCTTGCACTTCCCTGAGGAAACATTTACAGTATTTGGAACTGTAGTGAAAATAAGTTTTAATAATCATCATCTATCATTATAATGATTTGCCTGGCAATTTCTAATATTGCGGAATAAACCCATTATCTCTACTGATTCAGTAACAATCATTAATCCGACGAGTATTTTCTTTTTTATATATATCAATAAACGATAGAAATTAAGAATCTTTCTCCAGGCAAATTCAGAGCCATTCGACTGTCTGTTTTTTGAGATCATGTTTGTAACATCGTTAAGAGCTATAGATACAAGAATACACAGACACGAGCAATGAGATTCAAGTACAAAAATTGTTGCAAGAAAAATAATTCACATGAATAAATAAACGTTTAATCATGAAGGGGATAATAAATATGTCTGTGTAACAAAGGAAGCATACATACATACGTTAGTGGCTGGAAACCATGAAGCACATACGGGTAGTTCATTCATAAAGTGGGAATACGTGTTCCTCCAGCCAGTTTTAACTATTTCCTTCTATTGACAATGGAAGATCAATATTTATTTTGACCACTTGTGCGTGTACGTTAACGTGAAAGGCAATCATGATTTACTGTTTAACTTTATATCTCTCGGGATTCTTGAGCACACAGATGATAATGTAACAATCACTATGTTTAATCTGCGTCTGTTTTGCGTCCATGAGGAACACGGTCTGTATAATAGAGAACAGACTTTCGCATCGGCGTTTAACATTCGTGTTCTTGTTCCTGTTCCGGGTTGGTGAGTGTGTGCGGGTAGCTCGGGCTCTTGACGTAAGTAGACAGCGTGCGTATGGAGCAA